GGCTAAATGCTGGGGACAGAGGAGTCCCCTGCCAGGACAAAGCTCCCAGCTCCCCATGACCCCCTCGGAGTCCCCGAGCTAGGAAGGAAATGAGGGATGTAAGACGGGGTGCCAACAGGGGAAAAGCCAACAAGCAAAGTCACTCTCAGCCCTCTTAAATGATTCAAGTTCAGGTTGCTTCTGCCAGTGAAATGAAACAAATGAAACCAAACAGCAAAACAACAGAGGCAACCTTGCCCGTGAGACAAAAGTTTTCAGAATATTTACAAGGTTTCCTTAAACACAGGCAAGACTTCATGTAAACAGCAATTTTAGAATAAAAGCCTTACATTAAAAATGCCCAAACGCCACTTCTCCAATCTGCACGATCATTTGAGGGTGGTATTTCAGCAAATTCCACATGAATTAAGAAATGTAACCCAGAGCGGTCCCAGCCCCGTGGGTGCCCCAGCAAGGGCCCGGGCTTGGCTGCCAGATACCTCTTACCTGCCGATGGGCATCCACGAGCTGCTCCTCCAAGGTTGCCACTCGCTCCAAAGCTGCTCGCAAGCGTTCCCTGACCTGCAGTCACGTAAAACAACAGGAAAAGCCGTTATTTATCCGTGATGAGGGTGCCCAGGACCTAGGCAAAGCTCCCAGCCCCTTTTTTCTGGCTGACAGCCAGGCTCAGGTGGATTCACGTCCAGGACACAGGCTTAGGGATGCTCCAGCCCATCGTCTGGGAGAGCAAAAGCATGTTGGAGAGAAACAGCCCAGACCAAAGTGATTCTTGCAAGAGACCCATGGCTGGGACAGCTTGAAGATGGCTTTTAGCAGAGCAAGGAGCTGCTCAAGGTAAATGAATCAGGAGGAACAATACGAGTTGTAACGCAAAGACTGAACCAGGGTGCCAAATGCCAGTGCTCACCACCATGTGAGTGACCCAGGGAAGCAAGATCCCCGTCCCCGACAGCCTCAAACCTACAGCATCCACTCGGGAGCTCCACTGGCTCCTAAAATGAGGGTGCTGCAGCTTTTGGATACCCAAGACCTTCCTCCTGAGGGACACCATGTCACCACCCAGCTTAACAACAAAAAATGTAATGCAGCAGGAGGGAGTAGGACGGTTGGGAGAAGGTCAGCTCTGAGCAGGGGATGCTCATGGAGCGAGCCAGGAGAGAGGTCCTAGCAGCCTGTCTCACCTTTTCATCTAGTGCCTTGTGATGCTCAAAGAGTGACTTGAGTGCCTTGAGCACCTCGACCTCACTGGAAACCCCGGACGGTGACTGGGCCTGACGCTTGACCACGGTCATCCTCAGGGACCGCTCATGTCTCGACACCAGGCACTCCAGGTGCTCCAGCAAGAGCTGCAAGAGGTTAAGCATGAGGCACTCACCATCCCAGGGGCTGGTGATGCCGATATCGGCCCAGCAGCCTGCGGCGTCCCACGTTTCCGGGGACCGAAAGCCTGCCGGCAGGTTTTATGTGCTCACCCGGGTGTTATTGCGCTCGGCTTTCAGCTCCGAGATCTCCTCTTCCCTCTCCAGGAGCTGCTCTCGGCAGGCACTGAGCTCCCGCGTCAGCGTTGCAAACTCCTGCAGAAATCAGCACAGCCGTGAGCAGGAAAAGCGGGATGGAGACGGAGCCAGTGTCCCAGCCCCACTGCTGGGACTTCCAGGACAGAGCATTTCCCATCCAAACCCAACCAGTGAGAGACAGGGACACAAAGGGAACATTGAGAAATCAGTGGAGAAGCACAGCCAGGCTGGAAGGTGATCTATTCCTGGCTTCCCCTAAGTGCTCTGGACAAGGAAGAACACAGCATCCTAATATTTATCTGTTTGGTTTGATGCCCAACGGCACAAGAAACTGCTCTACAGCTCCAGAGGTGCTCGATGGCATTTAAAGCATCCCAGTCAAGGCCACCAGCATGCTCCCATCCCCACTGTCCCCTTGATGCAACCCAGCAGAGCACCCACCTCGGAGCATCCCATCGGGCTAAAACTCACCGCAAAGCCACAGCTGGCCAGGACGGGTCCCCTGGCTCCAAGCCAGCCTCTGCCATGACCTCAGGACCTGGCATCATCCAAAATCTCCTTCCAAAGGAGACTGCCCCAGTCCAGCATGTGGGGCTCCATCGAGCTCCTTATGGGGCACCCCCGAGCCCCGAATCACAGCTGAGGGCACAGCAGGAGATGTGGCAGGGGGGTCCAGCCACCACTCCCTCCAGGGAGGTGCCAGCTGGCAAGGAAGAGCCGTGCACAGAGTGATGCCAAAGCAGAGCTGCAAAGCCAACACATCCTTTGGGATATGACAGGCTCCTCAGAAACAGAGCAGTCGCACTCGTGATCGTGTTGGAGGGGAAAGGAAACCTGCAGTGAAGTTCCTAGGATGCAGAAGGGTTCATTTTCCCTTAAAAAATGAAAACCAAGTACCTGGGTTAGCCCAGGAGCACTCTCCCATTGCTCCCAGTTGCTCTTCTGGTTGCCAAGTGATGCCAGGACCGAGCGAGATTTTGCCACTGAGATTTTTTGGGGTGAAAAATGCAAATGTGGAAACGCTTCATGAATTTACACCAGTTTCACAATGGTGTGGAGAAGAACTTAAAAAGGAAAAGGGTTTCAGAAGAAGCTGAGAAGGATTTGATTGAGCATTAACAACCCAAATTTCGACTGGAGGCTGAGAGCGGTTTTATAGTGTGAAATTCTCTTTCACTTTAATTTTCAGGTTAAACAAATAAAAACTCTTCAAACTGAAGCAAAACGTTGAGGTTTCGGTTGAATCAAATACTTTGCTCAGCTCCAAGTGAAACCTCTTGCACCAGCCGACGTCCCTCCAAGAAACCAAGAGCTTTTTAATCTCCGTTGGTCCCAACTAGATTTTCCCTCTCCCTTCCCACCCCAAACTGCTCGCACCGGTGTGGTTTTTAGCCTGGGCTCAGTGGGGATGGTGGTGTCACTGGTGATGCAGAGACCCCACAGCAGGTCAGGACCTGAGCACGCCACAACGTGAAGGGAGAGCAAGAATAATCGCAGCGGTTGAAGTCAGTCATCATCCCTATAAATAGCTGCTTTTCTGCCCATCACCGTGCCTCAGGGCTGCTGCCACCCAACAGCCTTGCCCCAGAGCCCGAGTCCCCCGGCTTCTTTCCAGCCCCACTCCTGCCCCATCACTCTCCCAGGCACCGCTCCAGTCCTGGGGTCACCCCTGTCCCCATCAGTTGCCCCCAGATGGGTCACAGCCCCCCCAGCCTCCATCGCCGGCCCCTGCTGTGCCCAGGCACCATCCCACACCGGCTCTCGGATCACCCCACAGCCCCCCAAAGCGCAGTGACCCCCACTGCAGAGCGGCTTCCCCCGGCGCGCGCAAACTTCCCGGGGGGGGTGCCCTCCCAGCCGGTGGGGATTACGGCGCGGCACAGGCCATGTGCGTGCGCGCTGCCGGGTTATGCAACGGCTGCACGCAGGAGCGAGCAGCTCACCAGCATCCCCATGGATTAGAGCGGGGCTGGGAACGCCGGTGAGCGGAAAGCGTGTGAGAGCGGCAGCGAGAGATGTCTGTGCACCGCTGGCTGCTTCAGATTTTGGGATCTGTCACTGCCCCCCCGTTCCTCAATATGCCAGGAGACAAGCAGCAAGGCTTAAGGAGCTCAGCAAAAGCATCCTCGCAGCTGTGACGGCCCCAGGAACATCTTTCAGCAGCCTGAGCTGTACTGGTGGGTGACACATTGGCTGTGGACTCTCTCCCAGCACCCGGGCC